TGCAGAGTTATAACGAATCAATCTTATTGCATGTCGAACATTTGTTCATGTCAAGGAGATGCCAATTTGTGTGTTTCCGATGCAATTTATCTGCTAGAGCTTCATGTTTCCTGTTTTATCAATGAATTATTAGTTTTGCGTTGAACTCGTCAATCCATATATACTATCATATCACTAGTTGTTATATTGATTTGATTTTTTACCATCATTCTTTGTATCTGATATGATTCATAGTTTTCTGTTGAATTTCCTATGGGGTTCTCAACTTTTAGTTGTAATATTTGTTGAATTGGATAAGAATATCATTGTTTTAGGTTCTTGATTGAGAAAATTTTCTTATCTTACTGCCCCCATGATTGTTGCAATACTTGGTGGCATTGATCATTGACATGAATGATTTATCTGTTTTAAGTTGCTGATATTTCCTTGAGTGATTACGTCGGTGTCCAAGCTTCTAAGCATGCCACCTATGTTCCCCACACTGCTGGGAGGTACTCAGTTAAGCGATTCTGAAAGGCTAAGTGCCCGATCGTTGAAAGGCTTACAAACTCACTCATGATGCATGGTCGAAATAATGGCAAGAAACTAATGGCAACCAGGATTGTAAAGCATGCCATGGAAATCATATATCTCCTGACTGATCAGAACCCAATTCAGGTCATTGTTGATGCTGTTATCAACAGGTAACGTATATAACATAAAGTTTAGCATTTTCTCTTTCATCAGTTTAAGCTCTACCAAGCTCTGTTGATGGATGTAACAGTGGACCCCGTGAAGATGCTACTCGTATTGGTTCTGCTGGTGTCGTCAGGCGACAAGCTGTTGATATTTCTCCCCTTCGCCGTGTGAATCAGGGTATCTATCTCCTGACCACGGGTGCTCGTGAGTCTGCATTCAGAAACATTAAAACCATTGCTGAATGTTTGGCTGATGAGCTAATTAATGCTGCCAAGGGATCATCTAACAGGTAAACTGTTCCTCTCAATGAATCAAATTTGCACCTGTTGAATTGTGCCTCTCGTCACTTTGATTGATATCGACAATGGTCTTGTATTGTGCAGCTATGCCATCAAGAAGGACGAAATTGAAAGAGTTGCCAAGGCCAATCGTTGAGGTATTTTTGGAATGATACAACATGGCAGTGGAGAATTTTGTTGTCTTAATGAGTTCTTTACAAGTTGTTTTGTATCCGAGACATGCCATGAATTTGGTTTTTTTTTTGGGATATCCGAGACATACCATGAATTTGGTTTGTCTTTATGAGTTCTTTATAAGTTGTTTTGTATCCGAGATATGCATGTTTTCATCAAGGAAGAATTTGGTCGGCCTTTGTTATGATCATGCAATTTTATTGGTAGTTTTTCTTTTTTCAACAGGTGACATTTTTACCTTCCGTTGTTAGTTCGTATGGATTTCTATGAGTGGTTTAATGAAAATTTTAATTTTTTTTATGCAATTTGAAGTTTATGGGATTTCAACTTTAATTTTATATTTCTTAAAAAATTAATATGTATAAAATAATATATTTATAAAATTCATACATTGTATTATAATTTGTATTTTTTATAAATTAAATTATTAAATAATATTTATAAAATTATATTATTAATATTATTAATATTATTAAATTATATTATTAAATAAATTTAATTCAATAGTAAGTTAATATTTATTTTTAAAAATACAATAAGATTTTATATTAATTTAGTGGTTAAGTGTTAGATTTTTTAAAAGATTTAGCTCAATTTTTTTATAATTGAAATTAAAATAAAAATAATAGCAAGTTTTTTTTTAAAAAAAAAATTTGAAAGTTTGAGCACCTAAAATTGGGTTGAGTAGGGATGTGCAAAACTCAATTTGTAAAAATTTGAATTGAATTAATTTTGAGTTGTAGCTTCATAAGTTTGATTTGACTCGAAAAAAATTTAAGTTTAAATCAAGTTACAAACACACAATTTGAAGGAATCGAATAGTAACCTGAATAACTCTGAAATTTTTAATAATTAGTGGATTTATTTTTAAGTTTGAGTTGAGTCCCTCGACTCTATATGATATATTATATCACATATGAATATATATATATATATATATATATATATATATATATATATATATATATATATATATATATATATATTGCATATGGTTATAAAGATAATTTAAACTGGAATAAAATAATGTCATAATATTATGAATACTTATACTTACATGTAAACAAAATCTAGAAAATCTGACTTAATTCAACTAATTTTTTTAAAATCAAGTTTAAGTTATAAAATAAGACTCATTAACTCAAATAACTTATTTTTTTTTAAAATTAACATGACTTCGATCGAACGATCTAATACGTTTACTCAAAACTAGAGTTAATTGCATCACATGTCCTCAAACCATGACTCTCATTCCAAATTAGTCCTTAAACTTTTAAACATTCCAATTTCATCCCCAAACTACGACTCCAATTCTAAATTAGTCTTTAAACTTTTTGAACATTTGAAATTCATTCCCAAACTATAAATCTCATTCTAAATTAGTCCCTAAACTTTTAAATCTTTCAATGTCATCCCCAAGTTCATCCGAATATATAATTCATTTCAACCATAGTTTAACCTAAATATTATTTTTTTCAAACATAGAATAATATAACTTGCCTAATGATTTTATTAACAAAAGATGTGGTTAGTATATACGAAAAAATTAGGATAAAATTAAAATACTCAAAAAGTTTGGGGACTAATTTAGAATGAAGATCACAAATTGGGGATGAAAATGAGATGTTCAAAAGTTTGAGGACTAATTTAGAATGGCAGTCATAGTTTAAGAATGAAATTGAAATGATTAAAAGTTTAGGGACCAATTTTAAATGAAAGTCATAGATTGGGGATGTATGATGCAATTAACTCCAAAAACTATACAGAAAAAGAAAAAAAAAATCCAAACAGATCCCATTAAGTAAACCCTCCGAGCGTCTTCGTTCTACACTACTCCCAACCCGTGCAGCGCCGCCCGCAGCTGAAAAATGGAAGAAGAGCACCCAACTCTTAAAAACGTCGTCGTTAACGACACCGGTGAGGATGACCCACCGGCTCTTAGCTTTCAGGCACTAGCAGCTCTCAAAGAGTTCCTCCAAGAACAAATTCAATCTCTTGCTAACCACGAAACTGAAGAAACCAAACCAGAGAGTGAAGTGGCTTTGCTAACAGAAGATTGGAGGCTCAGCCAATTCTGGTACGACCCACAAACAGCGCGTAGCATTTTCAAGAAGTCGTTTCTCTTTGCACCACCTCACATCATAGAGTAGCATGCATTGCTTGCCCAACTCTCTATGCCTATCTTAAGGTAATCTTTTCAGTTCGTTTTTCCCTTCTTTTTCTAATAATAGTTTTACTCATAGTCTTGGAAAGAATGATAACAAAGATTGAATCTAGGTTGTTAACTGTTTATAATGTTTATATCAGTTATTGGTTTAATGGGGTTTCACAGTTAAACGCCAGATTAAAAAAATCTCTAGAATTAGTTGGGAAAAATGTATCTCTTGGAACAATTGCAAAAGCTGGACTTAACCCATACCTTCGGTTTTGTCCATTTCGCTTAGTATGATCATTGGTTAAACTATGTTAATTCTTTCGGTTTGATTTTAATATATTTATAACTAACTTAACTGACCAAACCACCTATGCTAAGTAGTTTTGTTTAGGTCGATTAAGACCGATGTTGGTTAGTTTGGTTTTAGTTGATGATATTACTTATGCTTTGTGGTTCATTGCTTTTGTATGATTTTCAGAAACTTTATCCTACTATCACCGTGCGACTTTTGGAGTATGATAAGCATTTTGATCAATATGGAAGTGATTTTACGTTTTACGATTACAACCATCCCGAAGACTTGCCGTTGGAACTAAAGCATAATTACCAGGTTGTAATTGCCGATCCTCCTTATCTGGTAAGACAATACATATTGTCAATGTCTTAATCTACGTATTGTCACTTGAAGTGAAGCTCTTTTACGCTGTGATATTTTCCTCGTCTGTCTCGTCATATAAGCAAAAGGTAACTGCTTAGAGAAATACCTCATCCACTTATCTATTTAACACTAAATACACACAATATTTATTAACCTAGTGTTTTCATACTGATATCTTGAATATTCTGTTTCTTTTAATTGATTCCAGGTTTTTTTAATACGAGGATGAACTTGCTTGTTTATCTTTAATACCTTTCTTCTTTGAAGTGATTCCAGGTTTTTGAATATAAAGGATGAACTTGCTATTTTATCTTTAATACACAATATAAAACCCTGTCGTCTACTCTTGTTTATCTTGTGATCATTAATATGATCTTTTCTTTGTGATCAAAACGCAAACAAAGATTTTGAGTTAGTTTGTACCAGTGCCACTTCACCTTGGTGTAAAATTCTTCCCCTGATACAAGTCTTGGAAGTCTGTGATCCTTTTGGAGAAATGTGAAGTTTAGACACATTTCTATCACAAAATGGTATGTTGTAAATCACTATTTTGGTCTAACATAGGACGTTTAGTGTTAGAGCATCAGTTTATATATATATTTTTCTCATTATCTTGCCAAGCATATACCTAAAAGGGAACAACTGTTTACTGCATTTCACCGAGTTTGCGTTTAGAGAAATTTTTGATAGTATAATACGCATGACGTATATGGTTGCAGAGCAAGGAGTGTTTAGAGAAAGTTGCTCAAAAAATAGTTTTACTCATAGTCTTGGAAAGAATGATAACAAAGATTGAATCTAGGTTGTTAACTGTTTATAATGTTTATCTCAGTTATTGGTTTAATGGGGTTTCACAGTTAAACGCCAGATTAAAAAAATCTCTAGAATTAGTTGGGAAAAATATATCTCTTGGAACAATTGCAAAAGCTGGACTTAACCCATACCTTCGGTTTTGTCCATTTCGCTTAGTATGATCATTGGTTAAACTATGTTAATTCTTTCGGTTTGATTTTAATATATTTATAACTAACTTAACTGACCAAACCACCTATGCTAAGTAGTTTTGTTTAGGTCGATTAAGACCGATGTTGGTTAGTTTGGTTTTAGTTGATGATATTACTTATGCTTTGTGGTTCATTGCTTTTGTATGATTTTCAGAAACTTTATCCTACTATCACCGTGCGACTTTTGGAGTATGATAAGCATTTTGATCAATATGGAAGTGATTTTACGTTTTACGATTACAACCATCCCGAAGACTTGCCGTTGGAACTAAAGCATAATTACCAGGTTGTAATTGCCGATCCTCCTTATCTGGTAAGACAATACATATTGTCAATGTCTTAATCTACGTATTGTCACTTGAAGTGAAGCTCTTTTACGCTGTGATATTTTCCTCGTCTGTCTCGTCATATAAGCAAAAGGTAACTGCTTAGAGAAATACCTCATCCACTTATCTATTTAACACTAAATACACACAATATTTATTAACCTAGTGTTTTCATACTGATATCTTGAATATTCTGTTTCTTTTAATTGATTCCAGGTTTTTTTAATACGAGGATGAACTTGCTTGTTTATCTTTAATACCTTTCTTCTTTGAAGTGATTCCAGGTTTTTGAATATGAAGGATGAACTTGCTATTTTATCTTTAATACACAATATAAAACCCTGTTGTCTACTCTTGTTTATCTTGTGATCATTAATATGATCTTTTCTTTGTGATCAAAACGCAAACAAAGATTTTGAGTTAGTTTGTACCAGTGCCACTTCACCTTGGTGTAAAATTCTTCCCCTGATACAAGTCTTGGAAGTCTGTGATCCTTTTGGAGAAATGTGAAGTTTAGACACATTTCTATCACAAAATGGTATGTTGTAAATCACTATTTTGGTCTAACATAGGACGTTTAGTGTTAGAGCATCAGTTTATATATATATTTTTCTCATTATCTTGCCAAGCATATACCTAAAAGGGAACAACTGTTTACTGCATTTCACCGAGTTTCCGTTTAGAGAAATTTTTGATAGTATAATACGCATGACGTATATGGTTGCAGAGCAAGGAGTGTTTAGAGAAAGTTGCTCAAAAAATATATTTTCTTGCGCACCTAGAAGAATCCTTCTTGCTTTTGCTTACAGGTAAAAGTTTTTGCTTCCAACATAGCTTGCGATAGATGCCATTATCTTTACTGCATTGCATGTGTAACTTCAACGTAGTGCAGAATTACAAGCATGGATGTTAATTATTGTTTTAAGTGGCTTTTTTTGTAGCAAAATATGTCTTACTTGTTGGCATGCTGGAGAAGTGCAGACGGATAGAGCTGCAGATCTTTTGGGCTTGCGTCCATGCAATTTTCGGCCACAGCACTCTAGCAAACTTGGAAACGAGTTTCGGCTGTTCACAAATTATGACCCTCTGGAGCGATTAGGAGGATGGGTGCAAGAAAAATAGGTATCTTTTTCTTGCCATGATATACACGGACCTTAGTTATTTTGAATTTTTTCTCCTGTATGAATTTCATACAATCTAATCTGTATTCATTATCAAGACATTTGTGATGCTGCCAACAGTTACCCTTTGAAGTAACGGATGAAAAAATGGCCCGGCTTTTCTGCTCAACTGTCCTCTTAGAAAATATGCGGACAAGCCTTCTTTAATGCTAAGATTCTGCGATCAAAACTCAAAACCATGCACTGCCTTTCCTTCCATGTTGTTCCAACTCTTTTTTACTTCTTTCTTGAAGTAGCTGTGTAGGATACTTGTGTCCAACAATATATCTGGACTTGTTTATGGGAATGTTAACTTCTAAAGATTCTCCAAATGCTTGAAAAATTTTAAAAATTTAAGATGTGGAGAGCATCCGGAACCAGGAACGGATCGAGGGGGTGCTAGGGGGCTGTTGCACCCCCTGGAAATTTAAAATCTGTATTTTCTTTTGATGATCTCATTTCGCATTCCTTGAATTTTTAATGTACTTTCTAAAGGTTTGCACCCCTGACATAAAATCTTGCATCCGTCTCTGTCTGAAACACTCATTCGAGACAAAATAATAGTTTTGTCAGCCCATAAGATTTGTTTATTTTGCCTGATTATATTAGATTCCAGATTCAAGGAATAGCTGAGGGCAATCATCTTATAATGGTGTGCTTTGTCTCCACAGATTGATGTTGAGCTCATTGTTGGTGCAAAGAAGCAGAATATGCTAATTATCAGGCTTGTCTTTCAATCAAGGACCAATACCATGCTTGGCATCTCATTTATGGGGTTTAACTTGTCCCATTAAAACATATGGGATCTCTCTCTCACAATGGATATAATTGATCCATTTAGTATGATTTGGGTCACAAATTTGCTCTTTCTTTATTACCAGCTTAATTTCTATACTCCTTTTCTTTCTACTAAATATTACAATCTGGTTTTATGTGGAAATAAAAAACTTCTAAGGTCAACTGATATTTGATTTTGAGAAATTATGTTGAAAAGTATTTTTGGAAATTTAAGATTTAATTGTAAAAGATTGTTGTTAAAAAATATATATATATTTTAGAAAATCATAATTAGTTGATTTAGCATAATGTAGCATTAGATTCTTCTCTTAAGGCTAGAGGATTGAATCTTTCTGTTGAAAATAATAAAGAAAATTAGATCGGGAGGGTTGTTTTTCCAGGTTCTTGGTTTGATTAATAATCACTTTTCAAATGTGACTGTTTGAATGAAAATGAGTTGTTTGATGATGATTTTCCGTTTTGGGCAAAAAAAACACTACCATAAGCATTTTCAAACGGTTTAGGGTTTATCTCTATATGCTAATGACACTTTTAGTTAAAAAAAGTTTATTTTGACTATAAAATTAATGTCAAACAGGTAAAAATTAAAAAAACAAAAATGGTGGGAACAGAGGTTTCAAACCAATAAGGGATTTTTTACTTTTTTTTTTTTATTTTTAAACTTTGCGTTTGGAAGCAAATTTATATTTTTACTTTTACTAATATATGTGTCTCTCTCACTTGCCCTCAAAAGGAACTTTGAAATTCCATTTCCTTTATTAATTTTGTATTTACATTTTATTTCAATAATTTAATTCTAACATCCTTATAAAAAAAATTTACTGCATAATAGTTTATTTTAATCACTTAAAAGTAAATACAATTTATGATTTATATATTAAAATATTAATAGTGAGTTATTATAAAATATATTTTTATTATAATTATATTTTATTATTATTTTTTTTATTATAATTTAATTTGATACATTTTATATATAATAATAATTTTTTAAATATTATTTAGAATTTATATCTTTTTTTTATTTTTAAATGGCTAAAAAGATAAATATATCATTTAAATTATTCTATTTTAAATTTTAAATGAGTGATTATGGTTAAATCGAAATAGTTAAAATATTATCTTAAAATATTTTTTTTATATTTTTATTATAGTTTAAGTTGATATATTTTATAAATCATAATATTAACAAGCATAAATATAATTTAAATGTTATCCTTTTAGTCTATAAAAATGATCATTTTATCTTTTTAAAATTAAATTTTAACAACAATTTCAAACAATTAAATTTTAAATTGAATTTTTGAAAAATCACTTTTAAAAGTTATTTTTAAGACACTTTTAAAAGTTATTTTTCAAATGTAGTGACAAATTTTTTTCCATGGAAGAAGAAATCCATTCGATAAAACAATAACATTACAAATCGAACCAGACGCCCCAAAGCTACTCGAGCCGCTTACAAATGAAAACAAAGCTAAATTATCAAAATAAACACCATGAACAAAAAACCTGTAGAACAACACTAGATTCAAAACCGACTCACTGCAATTACAACCCAAGGCTGTTTTAACCAATCCATCGGGTTCAACATTAGTAGATCTAGAGATATGTTGAAGTACCAGCCAACCCTTAGTCATATAATCAGCAAAAGAACGCACCCCCTCCAGGATATTCGTTGGAGCCTTAGAGAGATCGGCAAACTAGCCAATATCAGTCACAACATCGCTCTCTACGATTAACTTATGATTCGCAGCCCAGGCCGAGTGCATAAAGAACCTCACCCATGTTTTATCGCAAGGAACTCGACAATGGTTGCAGTCCTATCTCCAACATGGAGAGAAAAAGAATGAAGGGGGAGACTACCCTCGTCCCTAAGCAGTCCCATATTCCCCCCTCCCCCCACTTTCCTCTCATCCACATTAAGTTTGATCCACCCTGGAAGAGAGGGACGCCAAGACACTATTGAATGAGGTGGAACCTGGTTCATGTGGCAGAGGTCTGCCCGAGTAATATATTCTAGGAAGTCACCCAATGTATACTGGGAGCCATGGAATTTAGCCAAGAACCAACATGCAACACGACACCAAATTAAAAACAACAGCAGAAGGAAATCCATCCGCTTATTGTTGAATTAAATTAATTGGCTAATAAATTAAATAATTTTTTAAAGAGATAAAATACATGTTTTATAGTATATTATAAAACCTAATATGTTAAATAAAATTATATTTAAATTAGTAATATTATTTTTCATACATATATTGTGATAATGTATTTTCAATTAATGAATCAAATTTATATATATTTTTGTTAGATAAATTATTTTTCGGGACTGATACTTTTGTATAAATAATAATAAATTATAGATATTTCAAAGTGAAATATAGAATTGTCAGAAATTAAAAAGAGAGAGAGGCCCGAGAGATTTGCCGTTTTCAGTGACATTATGTAATAAACAAAAACATCCAAACAGGCCCTTAAATCTGTGAGTTGAAAGTTACTAATACGGACTCGAATCACCCACCCAAGATCCGAGCCCGAATTTCAGAAGACTTGATCAATCTCGAACCTCGAAAGCTTCCCTATTTGCAACCAGTTTGGTGGTAGTTCCAAGAAGCTTATTGTTTGATTTTATTCGTCACGCAGAGTCATATTCCTTCCCGCTTGCTTTTTACGCCCAAAAGAAAAAAAAATGAGACCTAGCATTGTTTCAGAGGTAAGCTCCGATCCCCATTTCTTCCCTTTTCCGTCTCTCTTTCTAAGGTTTTCTTTGTTTCTATTTCTTAAATTATACATATTCCAGAAACGAAAAAGAATCTGGGGAAGTTCAACGAATCTCTGAAATTTCTTCAAGTTCCGTTGAATACACCTGACTGCACTTAATTATACTCATTGCAGTTGAGGTCGCCGCTATTCTTTCTGGTCCTTCGTTTCGATGCAGAAACAAAACATGGGCTTTAAATTTAAATGATAGATTGAAGTGACATTAAGTAGGTGAATAATTAACTTAAGCTGATATTTATAATTAGCTTCTTAGTCTTGTTTTCGTTTCTCTTTTCATTTGAAAGTATTAAAACCTAAGAAGGATTTGTTGTGAATTAACGGGGCTTAAAATTAGGCGTTTGCTTTAGAATGCTGGATTTGTTGGACTATTTATTGATTTTTTTTTTTTGGTTTATGTGATTAGTAAAAGTGAGCCTTTTCTTTTTAATTCCTTATATGAGGTGAATTTATAGTACTAATGATTTTGGCGCACAGGCAGGGCTGCAAACTAGGGCTGGACAATGGTGGGATAGTATTCCGTTCCTTACATCAGCTGTGGTTATTGTTTGCGGGGTTATTTACTTGATTTGCCTTTTGGTTGGACATGATACTTTTTATGAAATATGCTTCTTGCCAGAGGCCGTTGTATCACATTTTCAAGGTATATTCTTTTGATGTGATCCCTTTTTGGGGGTAGATAAATATATAGGGTGGCTCTTACATTTACAACCTTCTCTGTATATTGTGCTGAGGATATCATTTGATGTAGTATTTACTTCCAGTTTCCTTCTTCTGCATTTTGAACATCTGTGAGATGTAGAATCGTGCCAATTTAAAATTCTAGAATCAAGAGTACATTCTTTGGAACAACGTATTAGTTGGTCTTGACAATTTTATGTGTCCACTGGAAAGCTATGGCCACCGATTCCTTAAACCTATTTAATGCCATATTGTATTCCATGCCATGATCTAGATGAAGCTTGTTATTGTCTTGCTGAAATTGGTGTTTACCACCTACATGATGGGATGGGCCTAGAGGACCTCTATTAATTAGCATTGTTTTCAGCAGGCTTTTATAGGCTGCATATGCCTTAAATTCGAGAATGTGTGTTCCTATCTGAAACATTCACCGCAGCAATTCATTGACTACTTAAAGAATGAACGTGTTTCATTTGCTTTTTCTTTTATTCCGCAATATTTGATGTTTATAATCTCTTCTGAAAATTTATTCTTGTTGCAGTTTACAGGATATACACTTCCATTATTTTCCATGGTTCATTGTTACATGTTTTGTTCAACATCTTGGCTTTGGTTCCTTTGGGTTCCGAACTGGAGAGAATCATGGGATCTATTCGATTGCTATTCATGATAATTTTGCTAGCAACAAGCAATGCTATATTTCATCTCTTTATTGCTTTGGTGGTAGCCCATAATCCTATCCACCCTTACGACCATTTCATGAATGAGTGTGCAATAGGTTTCTCTGGAATCTTATTTTCTATGATCGTTATAGAGACAAGCCTGAGTGGAGTTCAGTCTAGGAGGTTAGTTTCTTCATGATATCATGTAACAAATTTTCTTGACTAGTTCTTTTATTCTGTGATTCTACCCTTAATTTTTAAATTAAAAAATTATTGGAAAATTATGTATTTATGTTGACTTTTCTCTGTACTATTAAGACATGTTAGTTTACATGCATACTAAGTGCAAGAGGCACATGCCTGAGGAGTTTATACCTGCATGCTGAGAATCTTGTTGCATTTACATGCAATGCACGATCAACTATGTCTATGATGCAGATGAATATCCAATACTTGTCTCTTGCGTCCTCAGAGTCTTGGTGCTAAAGTGTCATTTGTTTGGATCAATACAATGGTTGATGATTTTTTTGACTGATTCATGACTTTCTTTTCCTTACAGTGTGCTTGGTCTCTTTAATGTTCCTGCTAAATGGTAAATGCAGTTGCTTCTGTAATTTTTGGTATCTCCTATTTTCCTTTTATGTTCCGTGCTATCTATATAACAGAATATTTGTTTCAGGTATGCATTCATCTTATTGGTAGTATTCCAGTTGCTTATGGCGAATGTCTCATTACTTGGACACCTCTGTGGCATTTTGTCTGGCTTTGCATGTATGTCTTCTCATTTATTTTTGAAAAAATTGCCTTTCCATCATTGTACTTTTTGGAAATCATGTGATAAATTTGGTTGAAGCTTGGCAATTTTTAATGGTTGTCAACATTTTTAGATACCTATGGCTTATTCAACTTCCTCATTCCTGGACCATCCTTTTACGCTGCCATTGAGTCCTCATCATGGCTTGTAAGTATTCTGATGAAATGGCTGGTAATAACAATTGATATTTCTTTGCCATGCCATTTGAATTTCTTCTCTGCATGATCTTTTAGTCGGATTAGGATCTCGGTAATCCTATCTGACATCAAACGGCATGCTCTTCAACTCAGTGTTAAATTGGTATTATCAGGCAAATTGTCAAGTCGATATCATTATGCTAGGTGGGCAATTGCTTTGTATTATTAATAAGCTTGACAGATTTCCTTGGCACTTGATCTTGATTGAATATCTCTTTAAAAGTGAAAATTTGCATGTTTCTCCCACTTAGGGTTATTGATTTAATATAAAAAGCCTACAACTTTTAATTCTTTTACTACTTACTATTTGACACAGCGTCAGCCATGCATAAGAACTATTGTTAGAAACTTGCTAGTTTAGTTCTGTATTTTAGTTACCTTTTTATATTAGGGGAAATGCATCTAATGAGCTGACTAATGTGAGAATGTAGTTATAGATGTATGCATGTGCGATATCTGTCAAATAAGCCTTGAATTCGAATTCTTATACTCAAACCCTCTTCACCATTTAAATTGGTGGTCAAATGTCCAACCACTATTTTTCCTGGTCCTACAAAATCATTTGAAGCCATCCCGATAATAAAAAATATTTTGTGGCATGTTATGTTACCAAATAATGTGGGCTTTCTTCTCTTGGTTTTTTTTTTGATAAGAATTTCAGGCCTCGTTAAAAACCCCCTTCTTGATTAATGGAGCTTATATGAACTCCTTAATCAGCGGAAGGAGGAAAGAGTGCCTTAGGATTTTATTGAACCATAAAATTATATAAGATACAACCATCATACACCCAACCAACCAAATAAACTCGAAACAACCATAAAACATCCAAAATATAAATATGGAATCAGCCAATTCCTTCTTTAGCTAAGGCATCAGCCTCTAAATTGACTGTCCTATTAACCCATCTGACAACACCTTCTAAAACATTAAGCCTATGAACAATATCTTTAATAAAAAATGCATAAACATCAGGAACTAGATCCTCTTTCTTAATCCAGTCAACCGCAACTTTGCTGTCTCTTTCAATAATCAGACGACCATTCCTCTCGCGTGAATTCGCATAGAACATTAGACCCTTCTGAATAGCTTTTAATTCCATAAAAGTTGGAGGGCCCGGGCCAGCAGTTTCCTTGAAAGAACTTAAAGTCAAACCCGAGGAGTCCTTTAGAACACCTCCTATCCCACTCTTCTTCCAATCTCTTGTAGTAGCCGCATCAACATTTAACTTTACAAAACCTTGAGGAGGAGGAGACCAAGGAAATTTAGTTACAAGCCGATTAGGATAAAGAGAGCACAAATCCCCTAATGAAGGGTCTGAAACAAGAGAGTCCTTAGGAATAGACACCTCTTTATACTTAGCAAGGAACCAAGAAGCTAGTCTAAACCTTGCTAGGAAAAAATACTCAGCCAAATCCAACTTTCCCCCTTCAAACACAATAAGATTCCTAACTTTCCAAGTAGTCCAAATAACTGCCCCAGGAATAAAAGACCAAATTGTAGAGGTAGACTTCAAATCAGCCCAAGCAAGTAGGAAATTTTTCGCATTAACCTGCAAAACAGACTTAATCCTCCAGAAATTTGTTCCAAATCATCCACACCACCGAACACGTGAAAAACAAGTGCGAGGGAGACTCCACCTCCCTCTTACAAAGAGGGCACATAATGTCTACAATTCCTTGTATTCCCCTTTTAACAATTTCTGTCCTAACAACCAGCTTCCCTAACACCACCTGCCACATAAAGGACTCCACTCTAGGTGGAATCTGGCCCCTCCAAATAATCTTCTTCCAGAAATATACCTCTTCTGAATCCGAAAAGATGGCTGAACAAATCTTAGTGCCAGATTTAACAGTGTAAACCCCATCTCCAGTACCTTTCCAAATCACCCCATCACATAACTCCGTAGATAAAGAAACAGAGGAAATAGCGTTCATCAAGTTAACCCACTGTTCTACTTCCCAGTCGTTTAAGTTTCTTCTAAACTGCACATCCCAGCTCCAACCCGATCAGAAACTTGAATGTTTCTATTAATTTATTATTCTTTGTGTAATCAGAATGGGGTTCTAAGGGGCGTTTGATTTTGGAAAGTGATTGTATTATTGCCTTGGAATGGTTAAAAAATCCTGGCTTTTGTCCCGCCTCGTTCGAGTGATAGTGAAGGAAATTGTCTCTATTGTGTTGGATCATAATGTGATTTTAAGGCACATCCAGAGAAGTGCCAACTGGGAGGCAGATAAGCTAGCAAAATTAGGCATTGGTTAACTTGTTTCTCTCTTGTTTTGCGGGTTTGGTTTTGTAATTAGTTGTTTCTGTTTTTAGCTTGGTGTCGGTTCCTAGCTAGGTTCTTTCTCTTTTTTGTTGTACTGAATTTGCTTCTCTAATAAAATTTGAGGTACTCTTTTCCTCCTTCCAATGTTCTTTGTAATACTGTAATGTATTTCGACGGATATGAAGGGTTTTTTTAACGAGACCTCCCATTCTTATCAAAAAATTAATTTATTATCCTCGTTAGATGGTCTTATGCAACACCACTTAGATATTTACATAAATGTGATGATTGGAATATTTGTGCTTAATTTCCAGAAATATTTTTATGGTTAATAAATCTAAGGCTTTCCAAACCCTCTACAGGCAAGCTGTGTGAGGCGGCCCAAATTTATTTTATGCAGTGGTGGAAATCCTTCAGCCTACATCCCCACTTACACTGTACAAAATTCACCCTCCAGGTATATTTCTTTCCTTGTTCAAAGTCTGCTTTCATCCACTCTTGTGAGTTCATCAACTGATAATTTTTTTTAAACAGTGGACTATTTTCTGGAAACATCTGGAGAAACATGTCTTCCTGGATGCCACTGAAGGAGACATCTTATCAGGTTTTAATTCAATCCTCCTTGGATGATTTTTATATAGTTCTTTTTCTTGTACAAAAACTTCTGTGCACTATTATATTTTCATGCGGTGGCGCTTTTAAATTTTAATGCATACAGTGCCTGTCTTTTGCCTTGTAACCGACAGATTTAAGTCGTGATGAAAGGATTCTTCGTATTTTTCTATCATCGGTCTGAATCCCATGCATCTGTTGGAGTAAATGTCATTAAGCATTTATCATGATTTAATTTCATATTTTTTTTTTGGATAGGAGTGGAAGGCCTTCGTTAAAAACCCCCTTCTTGATTAATGGAGTTAAGAAGTAAGCTCCTTAATCAGCGGAAGGAGGAAAAGAGTGCCTTAGAAATTTTATTAATAATAAAGAATTACATAAAGATTTAACCACTACATCACATTACATCACATAAAACTTAAGGATTTATTCCCAATAAACCTTCTCGCTAGACCAGAAATTCCACTGACAAAACCTTACATTCAACCTAACCCTTTCTTTGCTAAGTTGTCTGCCTCCCCATTACTCGCCCTAGGAATCCACCTCACTGAATGTACCTTACCAAAGAGAAGAGTCAAAATCTGATAAACAATAGGTGAGTAAAAATCAGGAGCCAAAGTCGGGGATTGAACCCATTCCACTGCCGACTTACAATCACTCTCAACAATCAACCTCCCAACAGATTCCCATCGTGATGACAAAAAGATTTCAATGCCTCTTTTTATAGCCTTTAATTCAACTAATGGAGGAGTTCCTTGCCCTACCTTCTCTGAAAAAGTCAAAAGGGTGTAACAATCCCAATCTCTCAAATACCTCCAATACCTCCACCCGAGCCATCAAGCCTAGCAGCTCCATCAACATTCATCTTTAGAAAATCAACTGGGGGGGGGGGGAATCCACCGAAAGACGGGACAATTTTTAGCTTTGGATATAGAAAACCCATCTGCGAGGGAAGGATTACCAATCAGCAGATCCTCCTGTATATAAACCATAGGAAACTTTGCTAAAAACCATTTTGAAAGCTTGCATCTAACAGTAAAGAACAAAGACAGACTGTCAAGAGTAGATCCTTCAAACACCATTGCATTCCTAGCTTTCCAAATTGACCAGAAGATAACTCCCGGAATAAACTTCCAAATCGTCGATTTCCCCCTCAACTCACCCCAGGAACCAAGCAGAGCAGGAGGGTCTTGAGGAAGAAGTAATGAAAGATCCCAAAAACTAGCTATTTTATTCCACAATTCCCAAACAACATAGCAAGAGATAAATAAGTGCTGAACAGTTTCGTCCTGATTCTTGCAAAAAGGACACTTAATATCTTCCCCTAATGATACACCTCTCTTAACTAACTCTTCCTTAATTGACAGTTTCTGGTGAGCTAACTGCCAAAGAAAAGCTTCCACTCTAGGTGGTGCAAAACCCATCCAGACTCCTTTAAGCCACAAATCACAACTCCCAACCACATTACCAAAAGAATTTCTGCAGGATTTAACCGAAAACATTCCATCTCCACTAGCAGACCAAAATAGGAAGTCTTCCACCAAGTCTGACAGTTTGATATCCTTAAGTTTTGTCATCAAAGCCAACCACTGATCCAATTCCCAATCACTCAGGTTCCTTCTAGTTTGTACATTCCACTCCCAACCACTCGATCGATAGCTGCCAAACTCTACAACCATCCCCCCTTTATTAATGGAAAGCACATATATTCTAGGAAAAATGATTTTTAAAGGAACCTCATCTGCCCATACATCATTCCAAAAAGAAATTGATTTCCCATTTCCTATTTGCAACTTCACATTCGATCTAAGATATTCCCCTACCGAATCATTTTTTGTGAAATTATTTGCAATGCCTCTCAAGATCCAAGAAGATTGAGTGGAAGTAACCTTTCCAATAGACATAGTATTACAACTAACCCTTTGCTTGCTACACAACACAGATTTCCAAAGAGAATTTTTATCATTGGCAAATTTCCACACCCACTTACCTAATAAAGCCCGATTAGTGAGATTCAAATCTAGGACACCAAGTCCACCACAATTCAAATGCCTGCAGACCATATTCCAATTCACCCAATGAATCCTCCGCTTATCCTCCTTATCACCCCAAAGAAAGTTAGCCAATAAAGAATTTAGCTTCTTGCCAATTTTGCAAGGCATTTTAAAAAGAGATAAAAAGAAAATGGGTAGAGATGTTAGAACCGATTTCAAAAGTACTGTCCTACCAGCCAATGACAAACAAGAAGCTTTCCACCCAGCAAGTTTGGCCCAAGTATTCTGTCGGTAAAGAACCAACTGAACACCCACTTGTTCTGCCCAATCTGATAAAATTTCATCTTCCAAATTGATTCCAAACAGCTTACTCTTCACTAAATTAAGATGCAAACCTGCCATAATGCTAAAAATCCTCAACACCCTTTTAACATTAGAGGCTTGGCAAAAGATGATTAGGTCATCAATGAACTGTAGATGAGACAACCTAGTAGAATTTTCAGAATTCCCAATAACAAAACCATGAAATAAACCCCTTTCAACTGCTTTAGACAACATCAAGTGTAGCATCTCGCCTACAATGTTAAACAGTAAAGGAGATAGACTGCAGCCTTGTCTTAGACCTTTGTGCATAGGAAACTCCTCAGAAGGAGACCCATTGACAAGTATCGAAATTGAGGCTGTAGACAGACATTGAGTAATCCACGAGGACCATCTATATCCAAAACCCATCTCTGACATTGCTCTAAATAAAATAGGCCATTCTACAGAGTCGTATGCTCTACGAAAGTCAACTTTTAGAACAACCCCTTGCAACCCTGTTTTCTCCAATAATCAATTCCTTCTTTCGCGATGAAGGAGCAATCCAATAATTGTCTCCCCGGAATAAAAGCAAATTGGGATTGATTGATGATATCCCCAACACAACAACTCAACCTCTTAGATAACACTTTTGATATAATCTTGTATAGGCTACCTACAAGGCTGATTGGTCTGAAATCCTCCACACTTTCCGGATTAATCTTCTTCGGTATAAGCGTAATAAACGCATGATTAACCCCATGTTCCCATTTTCTACCAAAGTAAAAATCCTGGAAAAACTTCATTACATGGTCCTTTAAACTAGGCCAACATTTCTTGAAAAAACTCATGGTGAAGCCATCCGGGCCTGGTGCTTTAGAACTATCCGATGAAGCTATCGCTTACCATATTTCTTGTTCTGAAAACTGCTCCTCAAGATTTGAGGATTGAACCCCTGATAACTTAGCAAAATTCATATATAAGTCCTCGACTTCCAATGTTGTCTTAGAACTATAGGATTCCTTAAAATAATCCGCAATATGCATCTTAATTAATTGCGGATCTGACACTTCTGAATCGTTAATCTTCAAGCTAGAAATCTCGTTTCTTCTACTTCTGTTTAGTGCAGAAAGATGAAAAAATCGTGTATTTCTGTCCCCATCTTTCATCCATCTCACCCTTGATTTTTGAAACCATATGCTTTCTTCAATCCTATAAAGCTTCCAAAGATTCGATCTGAACTGCAGCAGCTGCTCCCAGTCCTGTTGAGAAAGATCATCAACTTGAGCCTTGAATTCAAGATCATTAATCTTCAATTCCAGATCTGCAATAGACCCATAAATCCCATTGAACTTTCTGCCCGACCAGCTTTTGATCAATTTTTTTGTTCCTTGTAGAAAACTGAATATACCCATTCTCTTTCTACTCCCCCTCAAATTATCCAAGGACGATTTAACCAATTCCTCAAAACCTTCTTCCTCTAAAAGATAATTGAAAAATCTGAATGGTTTGGGGCCACAGTCTACAGTTTTTCCCTCCAACGAAACGGGATTGTGGTCAGATAGAGACCTGGGTAATAGGCTTTGCACAACATTAGGAAAACTAATCAGAAAATTTTCAGAAATTAAAAACCTATCCAATCTGACCCAAGTAGAGGCTTCTCTATTATTACACCAGGTAAACCTTCCCCCGACCATAGGTAGATCGATTAAGTTTGTTTGACTCAGGAAATTTCTAAGTATATCTATAGAGAACTAGTTCTGAGACTTTCCCAACTTCTTTGCCGGATCAAGGTACACATTAAAATCACCCCCAATGCAAACTGACACTGTTTGAGCAGCTACAAAATTCAGCAGCTCCCTGAAGAAATCCTCCTTTTCAGAGTCAATACAAGGACCATAAACATTAATAATCACACATTCATCATTTGAATTCTTAAATTTTCCAAATATGGCTATAAATCTGCCACTTAATTGTTTGTTTGTAACTTCAAAATCCTTCTCATTCCACAACACCATTAATCCATATGCAGACCCCACTACTGGAACGAAAATCCAACCATTAAGAAGACTACCACCTATCTTTCTCCTAAGAGCCTGAGAACAATTTTCTAGCTTTGTTTCTTGAATTAGTACAATGCTTGGTTTATATTGCTTGACCATATTAGCTATGGCTCTTGATTTTTCCTTTTTACGAATACCCCTAATGTTACATGAAATAATCTTAATCTGTACCATGAAGACAAGTATGAAACCAAAACCTTAAAGCAAAGCTTGCAAAAGATCCCTATTCCCCCGGATCCACCCCTTCCCTACATTCAGCCAATCCCTCTTCCAGATTAATTATTTTTTCCAGGAAGGCCTTCTTCCCCTCTTTGAATGAGATACCCAGCATTTTACTAACTTCCCACGTAGCTAGAGCCTCTTCCAAAAATAGTGAGAATTTTGAAGAATACACAGTAGGGAGACTAGCCACATCCAGTGCTTCCCCAATCAAAATCCTTCTCGTTCTTCCATTGCCATTCCTTGCCACTGATCCAGATTAATTACCTGTTACAACTCCTTCAGCACCCCGAGAATGCTGTGACTGGTCTACTTTCGAATTGTGACTAGAACCACCTTCATCCTGATTCCCATTTGGTCTTCTCTCCGGGGTATTAGGAATAGGTAGATTACTCGTAATAGGATTGATTCTAGTCCTGTTGTGGTCATTCGACTCCGTAAGTTGCAATGTCCCATTTTCTCTGCTCGGATTAAACCACACCTTTCTTTCTCTAGATCTTCTATACACTTTAGAAATGGAACCTCTATTCCACCTTCCTATATACAAACTTCTAGACAAGTGATTGAAAGGACTCCAACTCCTTAAACCAATTGCAAGAGACTCCTTATTACATTATTTCCCCTGGATTCTGCCCATATGAAGCGGCAAAGCTTCCCGACCCTCCTCTGTTTCTTCTTCACTGCTAGCTTCTTTGTTCAGGATTGCCACATCGTCTGTAATTTCCTCATTTAACTTTTTGGAAGTTCCTCTACACATAGGCTGAATTCTGTCAATGACACCACCAGGATTCGAAACATACCCCAATTTGATTATATTACAGTAGGCCCAGAAGGTGAAAATTTAGAGTTGTTTGTGGTGGGCTCACTCAAGTCCACGGACTAGGCTTCATCATTTTCATTTAGAAAATCATTTCTTAACCCAAGACCCCGAAAATCCCCTTTAAATTTCAAAATTTCATCTGGTGAGTCTGACATCTTAGCACCACTAGTTTGACCTTCTACTTCTTGCAACAATAAATGCTCTCCCCCTTTGTCGCCTGACATAGTTCTACAGTTATCCCCTACCAACCATCTGTCTACTGTGTCCCTAGAATCCGCAGCTATCAAATCTGGATTACCAACTCTGTCTGAATGCCTATCTTCTTCCTCCTTTGATAATGCTTCGATACTGGGCACACCATCTCCGGCCACCGTAGAATTATTTGTTGCAAAGCTTCCCTGTTTGATACTAGCCGACCCCACATTAATTTTCACCTTAAAAGATCTCCCATACGAACCCAAAGTAACAGTTTCCTGTATGACAAACGGGCTGGCCACCTTCAGCAGAGCCCTTGCCACCGTCAAATCCTCCCTATTGACCGTCGACTCATGAATATACACCAAAAGTGGATCAAGCCCATTTTCTTTCCCCTGGATTTTGCCCATATGAAGCGGCAAAGCTTCCCGACCCTCCTCTGTTTCTTCTTCACTGCTAGCTTCTTTGTTCAGGATTGCCACATCGTCTGTAATTTCCTCATTTAACATTTTGGAAGTTCCTCTACACCTAGGTTGAATTCTATCAATGACACCACCAGGATTCGAAACATACCCCAATTTGATTATATTAACAGCAGGCCCAGAAGGTGAAAATTTAGAGTTGTTTGTGGTGGGTTCACTCAAGTCCACGGACTGGGCTTCATCATTTTCATTTAGAAAATCATTTCCTAACCCAAGACCCCGAAAATCCCCTTTAAATTTCAAAATTTCATCTGGTGAGTCTGACATCTTAGCACCACTAGTTTGACCTTCTACTTCCTGCAACAATAAATGCTCTCCCCCTTTGTCGCCTGACATAGTTCTAAAGTTATCCCCTACCAACCATCTGTCTACTGTGTCCCTAGAATCCGCAGCTATCAAATCTGGATTACCAACTCTGTCTGAATGCCTGTCTTCTTCCTCCTCTGATAATGCTTCGATACTGGGCACACCATCCCGGCCACCGTAGAATTATTTGCTGCAAAGCTTTCCTGTTTGATACTAGCCGACCCCACATTAATTTTCACCTTAAAAGATCTCCCATACGAACCCAAAGTAACAGTTTCCTGTATGTCAAACGGGCTGGCCACCTTCAGCAGATCCCTTGCCACCGTCAAATCCTCCCTATTGACCGTCGGCTCATGAATATACACCAAAAGTGGATCAAGCCCTTGCCACCTTCTTCGTTCATAAGTGGATCAAGCCAATCAAACCAAAAAGCCATTTCCTCCCTTCTACTCGACCTTGCTTTCTCTAATTCTTCCACCAAACCAAAAGTTAAGATACAATAATTCCATGTATAACCCCATTTAGCTCCCTTGACCATGATTCCATCACTAGCCAACCCCTTCACCACTAACTCCAAATCAAAATGGGTTTTGATAATTCCAGTCAATGATCTTTTAACCCAATCATACTCATCTAATGGGATAAGCATCTCCCACAAATTCCTCGGCCCTACTTCCTTTCCTGGATGACCCTCCTTAATCTCTTTACTCGCCTGGACTTCCCTTCGCTCATCTTAAGAGACTAGTGCATCCTTATACGATCTCTCATCCCTCAATCTACTGAACGACTCTGATCCGACTCCTCTTTTTGAAGTCACTCCCTTATTCAACTTATCTTCTTCCCTTCTGACATTACTATTATCAGCTTGCCTGAACCTCTTCTTCTGGTACTTAGCTACTCCAACTGAACTTTCTTTCCATCTATCCAAATACCATTCACATTTGCTACCGCCTTCTTCAACCCATCCTCCTTCGCAAACTGAACGAAAGCAAACGTATGGTTTCTATAGTTCTACTTCCTGGAGCTACTCGGAATGTAAACTCGTATAACTCTACCTTGTTGTTAAAAGATTTCCTTCACTGTTCTCCAAGTTACCCTATTACTCAGATAGTTGACAAACACCGTCCAATCCTCACCGGAGGACTGACCGCCTATGACACCCTCTCTCTCTCTTGCTTTCTCTCTGACACTCTCTCTCATTTCTTTACTTATTATGCTATTTCAAATCTGGCAATTCCTAGTTTTCAAGTGTTTTCTCGATGAAGATGATGGCAAATGTAATGCAACCTTTTTTTTAATGATTTCATTTCATATTGTAAGGCAACTTTGAAGAAAATGAAACCATGATCTTGTATTCGCAATTTAATTTTGTGCTATAACTTGAACTGTGGCACCCTTGAGCCGGTCTAAAGCCTGCTCAAAGATAAACTAATGTGATTTTCAACAACATGCAGTCAGCTCAAGAAGATTCCATATTTCCTGGGAGAGGCAGAACTATTGGTTCTGTTCAAAGTGCTGCCGTAAGTCCAGATTCAAACCTACAAGCTAGACTTTTGGATAATACTAGGCCCACTAGTCCAAATACTGCAGTGGTTGGTGCTGGGGGTAGGCTTTCAAATGAAAGGTATCAGGAAGTGTTTTTCTCACTCGTTTTCATTTCACTTACTGGTCTCAATTGGATTAGGTTAATACCTTTTCTTTCCTTTTTACTCTTTAGTTCGAAAGTTAGTCAATATCAATCTGGCTTATGCCATGCACTTCTGGTTTGGATACATAGTATCCATTCCTGGAACTTTAGTTGGTCTAGTTATAACTTTTATGATTTATTGGGTATTTTTTATTCCCCCAAAACCCATGGAGCATTCATTGTTGTTTATATTGACAATGAATCTTCTTCAGTTTGCATAAATTTATATTTAATATTTCATAGAAGTGTCCAATTCTGAAGTTTATTGCAAGTGAATCTTACCCTACATCTTTGGGGCTCGGTCTTGATTTTACTTTTTAACCCACTGCTGTTGGATTTAATCAAGATTGTCATTTACCTTTTTCTATATGATTGAAAGGTCATTCATGTTCTTGTTTATCTTTCAGGCAGTCACAAGTGAATGATGTAGTTGCAGCTGGTGCTGGAGGTTATCCGCTTCCTCAGGTTTGTTTCTCTTGTGTAAGAATCTTTCTTACTTCTGTTTATAGTTTGTTTCAAGGTTAATAAGGTCTGTAATCCTTCGTCTGCTTTTCATGTCTACCAGATGCCTCAGGTTGCTTCTGAGGAACAAATCCAGAAACTCGTTTCGATGGGTTTTGAAAGGGTAACTGCTAGATCCCCTCCATTTTGCATTTTTTTATAACTTACTATTAGATGTTTGTTTCTCCAATGTATACGTACTCTATGATGTTCTTCTTGCACGGCTTCTGTTGCCAACAAAATTTGTGCAGCCATCCATATGCTGCTTTTTTGTGAGGAACATAGTTTTGTAATTCAGTAATTATGTGATGTCTCATATGCTATGACCCTTGCATATAAAAAAATTAAGGTGGTGGTTGCCAGTTACGCCTATGTTAATCGAACTTGATTGTGATTATCGGATCCTGGTATGCATCCGGCACAGGTATGCTCAATTTTTTGTAGAAGTTTCTTTCTCCATGTATTTGGAAGTTTTGGTCATAGTACATACGAATGTGGTGGATATTCATCGGATATGGATATGCATGCTAGACATGGGTAGTTTAGTAAAGAGGCGGGGTAATGTAGGTTGCAAGCATAAGTTAATGCTCATTGTCACACAGACAAAACGCATCATCATATCTGTGCACAAACTTGGGTTTGAATATGGAATCGGTATTTGTTTCAGACACAAGTAGAAGTTGCAATAGCAGCTGCCGACGGAGATCTTAATGTGGCTGTGGAAATTCTTATGAGCCAGCAGGTACATTACATTACATACTTTGAAAGCCCTGATGTTATTGGTCTTTTCTTCCTCATTGTGGTGTGATTTTGTTACAGGACTGAGCTGCAAAATGGAACCCCCTTTGAGTCATAAACAACCACCGTCCATGCCATGGAGAGCTTGATTTCTTGAGCGGGTTAGTGCTTCCACCTGAATGGATGTGCATATTGTGAGTGATTTATGGTCAAATGGCTAGTGTGTATAGTATTTCCAACAACCGAGGAAAGAAACATTATGAACTGGAACTACTGCTTTCTGCAATACATGAACTTGGTGAAACCATTTTGTTCTAGATTTATTTTTCTATTTGCGAGAGAAATTAACCATAGCATCCCTTTATAACTGTTTAATCTTAAAAATTCCGATGAATAAAACTTGCGTTTAAAAGTGGGATGTTTTTTGTTAAATGAAATGAACAAAACAATATTGGCTTAAAATAAAAATAACTAAATGTCTCAAAAAATGTTAGTGCCCAAAGAATTTTCAGCTAAAAATAGGTGTCTAACGTTTTTTCAGTTATAATTTAGATGTCTATTGTTATAATTTTTATTTTTTTAATTTTTATAAATAAAATTATTGTTTATTAAAAGAAAAAAGGAAAAAAATAACAAAACTTAATTTATTTATAAAAAAACTCATAGTTTTCTTAAAATTACAAAATAACCCCGATTGGGTTTTCGCCCAAGCTCCGGTGGCGTCGTCCACGGCAAATGTCAGCGTTAATCGACAAAGGAAAGGTTGAATTTTTCTCGTCTTCAAATGGCATTCTCACTGATGGAAGCAGAGACAGTCACGACTGATCGGAGAAGAATTCGACGGTGAAGGACAATGAACGTTCTTTTACTGTTTTGCGACGATCAACAATCGACTTAGGTGATTGCTGATCGAGATTTAATTTTTTTTAATATTTTATAAATAAAAATATTGCTTATTAAAAGAAAAAAAATAACAAAACTTAGTTTATTTATAAAAAACTCATAGTTTTCTAAAATTACAAAATAACCTCGGGTTTTACCCAAGCTCCGGTGGCGTCTTCCACGGAAAACGACGATGTTAATCGACGAAGGGACGGTTGAGTTTTTCTCGGCTTGAGATGGCACTCTCATTGATAGAAGCGGAGACGGTCACGACTAATTGAAGAAGAATTCGACGGTGAAGGACAACAAACGGTTTTTACTATTTTGCGACGATCAACAATCGATTTAGGTGATTGCTAATTGAGATTAAGGTCGTGAGGTGCCAGAAAAGCTATCGTTGGTGGCAATGTACGCCACCAGCTAGTGGTGTGGTGGCGTAGGGGAAGGAAGGGGAGGAGATGGGGGATTTTTTTAAAAAAGTGTTTTTTTAAAAATAATATATTTATTTTTAATAAAAAATATTTTTTATTTTTTAACTTTTAAATAATTTTTCAAAAAACTAGAACGTGATATGTGTTATTTAAAAGGGGTTTTTAACGAGACACTTAAAAGTTTAGCGTTGGAAACATTAGACATTTTAAACAAAAAATTCTTTAGATACTAAAACATTTTTTGAGGCATAATTTGGATACTTATTTTTATATTAAGGCAACAATATTTTTGTGATGTTAATCAGCAATTGAAAGACAAATTATTAATCCCATGACAGAAACAAAGAAAAGCTCACCTTTTGATCCTTCCTTTTAATCCAAGGCCACGGCTGCCCAGATTAAGGAGGTCAACATTCATCTGCTCGCTAATTTCACATAACATATCCTTAGGATCCCCCTCCACTATCACTGTGTTTGCTTTCACCTGCATTCAAACAGCAAATGTTAATTCGAAACACACTGCAAATGCAAACACCTTCAAGAGTTTCCCACCTTGTTGGTGCATATCTCTAAAGCCTGGGAGAGTACAGCAGCTGGAATCTGTTGTTCTGCATTCCTTTCAGAATCCCCCACAGCCGTTGATGGAAAACCAGTAACTCCAACCCCGGCAGGGATGGCTGAAGGGGCCACCCCAAAGCGCTTGGACGGTTGATGTACATGAGCCAGTGTGACCATGTTCATTTCCACACCGGAACTGAAAAGGTTAGTCACCGCCCATTGCAGAGCATAGAAGCTCTCCTTACCCTTATCCATACCCACCATAACTCTCATTCTCTCTTCAATTAGGAACTTCTCTTTCCAAACATGTGTTATATATATATATATATGGGCAAAGGAGACAAAATTATTGAATGTGGTGTTTGGATATGGATTGCACACTTTGGATACGAGTATGGGAGGCGTGGAAGTTTAACATCACTCGGACACAGCTCTCAATTTATGCACTTAACACTCATCTTGTAACACAATTCCACGTAACATTCTATAATTCTAATAAGTGTCTCTTCAATGTTTTATACAATCATATATATATATATATATATATATTACCTCTTTAATAAAGCTCAATCAACCGATTTCATGAGTAATATAAACTTAGGGTTAGCTACACGATATCACTTTTGATCAATGATTTCAAAAAATATAAGATATAATCATTTTCGTTTTTGTTTAATTAAGATGTGATCATCATGGGTTAACTACTGTTAACAATTAACAAAATATGTGATGTGATAGTTAGTATAATCACACATTTGGTCATTATTATTTACATATTCTCTCAATTTAGTCATATTTTTAAATAAATTTTAACATAAAATATATTTTTAAATGAAATAAAAATAAAATGTTTTTTAAATTAAGCTAATAATAAAATATATTTAATAAGTCAATATAAAAATATTTCTTTAAGTTAATATATATGGATTTAAGTATTTATGCACTAAGATACAAAGTATGTACACCACTTTAGAGCAAACAATGGTCTTGGCTTAATGGTTAGATACATGTTTAGTTTTTCAAGTGACTAACGTTTGAATCTTTTTTGCCTCAAATTTTTTTCCTTTGTTTTCTTTCAACCAGAGAGTGACACATGTTACACTTTGATTGGTGGAAGTAAATATATTAAATTAAAATAAAGTTAGTTCTCCAACCGAATGGTGACATGTGGCATCATTCGATTGGAGGATTAAATTTATTTTAATTTATTAAAAGTAAGATTAATTTGATAGAATATGTAAATAACAAGGACCAAATGTATGATTTTATCAAAATATTTAACTGTTGTTAATGACAGTTAACTCGGGGTGACCATGTCTTAATTAAATAAAAGCAAAAGTCATCATATCTATGTTTTTTGAAATCAGTGACTAAAAGTAGATAAAATACAAACATAAATGATTATTCATATAGTTAACCTTTAAATTTAAACTTATAATTTAAATTAATCCTTTCGTATTGACACCTATATTGCCCTTTTATGTTTTCAAAGGGCAAGAAGACACCGTTTAGCTTCATTCACTCTCTTCCAATCAAACGTTTCTTTTTAATGATTAAAAAAAAACGAAATAAAACAGTAACACCTTAAACGACACACAATCGACCGATCAAAATGCCAAACAGAACTATCAGAGTGACTAACAAAAAATTTCTTTTAACTTTTTCCATTTTAAAAATGACAATTTGAAACCACTCATGCCAAAATAAATCAACTATAATTTAAATAAAATAATTTACATTAGGAGCTCCCAAAATAATATTTAAATCATACAAACCATAGTTTAAAATGAGTTACGCCTCATATAAAATATACAAATTGGGGTTTATGATTATACATGCTCTCTAAAGATAAACTCGAGACATACTTTGCACTATCTGGATCTAGATCACTACTGTCAAAAAGTCCTCAGACTGCTCCTCGACTAACTTGCTTAAGGAAGCAAATTCCAAACACTGAGCTAACTAACCCAGTGCCACACTAACAACTAAGCCATACTAAAAGTGTTCATGTCCTGCTCAAGCTAACTGATAACTGTAATAGTGAGTATACTCGTATATTGCACTCTCTACTCTATGGTAGAAATCATGGTGCGGCTGAGGGTTATACATATCGGAGCTCGCACACCCCTCTTGTCTACCGAGGCTGGTTTCCCGGAATCTCTGCATCAGTCAACTTCCTCCACTAGCCCACTCCTTGAGTGTTGAACCTTATGCTCAAGCTAGTTAGCTTTAAGTGCCTCGCACACTACCTAAGGATATATTCGGACTAAATCTATACATTTGATAATGCTAGCATTTTCTAAAGGAACACGGGTGTCCTGATCGTTTCCTGGGCATCATCCAAGGCTATTTTTATGTCATCCTAATTGATATTGTTTCTAAGTGTAATATTAATATCATTAATATTCTCATTTGTAGTCATATTTGTTGATAAAATGAAATGTTGGGGGTACCTCGAGTCTAATTCCCTTAAAAACTGACATTTTTGCCCAAAACAAACTGAAAATATCGATACTAGCCCAAGAGTATCGATACTCTTGCAAAAGTTTCGATACTTTATATAAGTACTGATACTGTTAAACATTCAGTTCTGCCAAGTTTCGAAACTTTCTAGGAGTTTCGAAATTATGACCCAAAGTTTCGATACTCTTGAAAGAGTATAGATACTCTTGGCCAGAAGTACCGATACTATCCCTATAGCATTGATACTCTACCTGTAGAAGTCATAAAACACATACGGAAATACTATATTTTAATCTTAAAGTCATGAAAGAGTATAAATAATTAATCGAAGAAAATTTCAATTTTAGGATGAGAACATGCCCACCCTTACTAATACGTGGCTCCGCCACTGGTTATAATATATCACACTGTTAAATTACATATGTTAATTCTTTTCACATCAAATCATGTCGTATATATATATGATTATTTAACAATTTAATCAATAAACTATTGAAAATTAATATGTTATTATTTAATTATCACACTGATAAATACTAAGTAACTTTATATATATATATAATGTGCTTTAAATGGAAGAGATATACTTATTTACTTAATTCTCATGAGAAGGCTTTTAAATAATTTCACGAGATAATAATTTATGAGCTAGATTTAAAATTTAATCCAATTTAGTGAGAAAGTTAATGAATTGTTTAAAAAAAAGTATATTTAAAGATATCAGTGTGCATGGTTACTTATAAATTATTTTTAGCGTTGTCGTCCCGCTTTGTTTTTTTTAATATTGATTTAACTATACGATTGATCACTTATATTTGTGTTTTGTTTACTTTTTCTCACTAATTTCAGAAAACATAATATATAATCATTTTCGTTTTTATTTAGTTAAGATGTAGTCACCATGAGTTAACTGACGTTGACAACAGTTAAATATTTTGGTATAATCACACATTTGATATCCGTTATTTATATATTATCTCAATTTTATCATACTTTTATTTTAATTTAATATATTTATTTTCCACCCATTAGAGGATCGAATCTCTTTAGTCCCAATTTGTTTTGCATTGTTCTCTTTTAACAAGAGGGTGACACGTGTCACCCTCTTATTGGTGAAAAATAAATATATTAAATTAAAATAAAGTTAGTCATTCGGTTAGTCTTCCAACCGAATGTTGGCACGTGGCACGTGGCATCATTCGATTGAAGTATTAACTTTAGTTTTATTTATTAAAAGTAGGACAAAATTAAGAGAATATGTAAATAACAGAGACCAAATACGTGATTATACCAAAATATCACGTCACCTAATTTGTTAATTATTAACGCCAGTTAACCTATGGTGACCACATATTAATTAAATAAAAACAAAAGTAAACATATATTAATTAAATAAAAATGAAAGTGACAATATTTTTGAAATAGGTAAGTAAAAGTGAACAAAAACACAAATATAAATAACCTTCAAAACTTATATCCAATTCGCAAGTTAAAAAATATAAACTCATTAGATGGAAAATTAATAAAAATAAGCTGATTTAAATATGAATTAGAAGACGGTGACCGCCACAGTTCCAATCTCACTTGGGCCTTCAACAACATATGATGGCCATCAGAGTATTGGTTCATTGACGACCACCACTTGCACCAGGGACGACAACGGTGACATGCCGCAACAACCGAGAACCTCGCAGCCCCCCTAAAAAAGAAAAAAGAAGAAGAAAAACCATCTACAATGACGAAACAATCTCTAACAAAGATAATCCTTCTTTAACAATGAACGACCGAGGACCACATAATCTACATGAATAAAATCCATGTAAGAGTGACTAAAACAAGAATAATTAAAAAGTTGAATAATTAAATTAAAACTTTTTGAACTTCAGTGATCAAAATAAAAGAGAAAACATAATTGAGTAGTAAACATTCAATCGAGTCAACAGATCTAAGAGAAAAAAGTGTCATAAATTTATCCTACACCAAAAATTTACAGGGAACCAAAAACAACCCCAACAGAAGTACCAAACCTAAATGATAATGATCAGAAACAGTCAAAACAAAAACATTGGGAACCGGAGAAAACATTCAACTGATAAACTAGATATCGTCACAGACAAACGAGAAAAAATCACAGCCGCCGCCAAGAGACATAAATGAGAATCAAGGTTCAACAATAATCCACGTATAATTGTATGTTAGGCTACTAACTTTCAAAATTTAAAGAAGGGACGAACTTATACAATTCGAGAAGTAAATACATTTTTAATAAAAGAAAATATATAAAATATATAAAAAATATAAAATAGATGATAATTTTAAATTATCAGGGAGGGTTATTACCCCCACCTCAACCAACGGATCCATGAACTGACAACCGCCAATGACAAGTGGCAACACCACATGAGGTCTCAACCAGAACACCATACAATCAAATCACAAGTAAAGGCCAAAGGACAAGAGAAGCACATAGGCGACAGACATCACCACAGGAAGGTGAAAACCAAGGCAGGATGAACTCAACGCTCGTCGGCGGTGGAACCAACTGAATGGGCAATACAAACACAGATGCAGCAGAGCTTGCAGGTGAATAGTGCAAATTCAAGACGATATCAAATGAGTTTTGGACATCTGATCTGATGCATGTAGGTTGAAGTTTGTCCAATATATTATTTCATATTACAAGTAAACTCAACTCAAATTCATAGATCACATCATTTTCCATTATCAAAGAATGAGGAATCAAAACAATCACTGTGCAGTTTATTTGATCCCCAAGTAATTAGTTCAGTTCAGGGGAATGAATGCAAACC